GGGGATGTAGACTGTAAAAAAAACCCTGTGTTCTCTCCCTTCCTTCATGCTATACACTGGGTGGATAGGCCAATAGCCCTCATGACTTCCCTTCTAGGGAGGTAAGCAGCTCCATATCACCTTTCCTGACCACCAGGAGCCTGCTCAAGTGGTAGTGAAACACGGCTCCATGGTTGATGAGCTGGGGCCCCTCATCCCTGACCTAATTTGGGGGAGGAGACTTTGGGTGTCTCTTCCTGAAGATGAGGTCTGTGTGGACTGATGAAGGTCCAGGAACTTGAGGGATTCTGGGGGTGGAGCAACTGGTAGGAAGGAACAACTCATATTAGCTACTGTGGAACTCTGTCCTCTGGGCACCATATGGCTGTTGCCATCTTGAAATCAGAGCAACCAACTGTGGTTACCCACAAAGACAGCTTATGTGTCAACCTACAAGGGACTCACCCTGCAGCTTATAAAGTGGCCCATGAAGCACACAAGGCCCCTCCATTTCCCTCCCAGGGTATTTAAGCTGGTAGGAAGACTTTTCTTTGGTGGTGTAGCTTAAGTTGCCCATGTTCCTTTAAGTAACTGCATTAAACCCATTAGCTAAACTTGGGTGGAATTATTTCATTGATGGGATGAATAGATGTTTGTTCAGGTCTCCCCAAGAAAGACCACCAAGGCCATTTGATGAGGAGAAAACAGGGGATTATGGTAGAACAGCACACCAGTCAACCAAATGTTCCAAGAGTGATGATAGTCTCAAGACCCCAAAGAAAAATGAATTGGATTTTACCAAAGATGGCTGTCCAACAGAAATAAAGATGGGTCCTTGGGGAGTCCTTTATATTAATGAAATCACTTAAAGTTGTAGGAGGCTGGAAAAATGGCTCAGTGCAGAGGACCTGGCTTTGGTTCCCAGCACACACATGATGGCTAACAACTGTCCACAACTCCAGCTCCAGGGTATCCAGCGCCCTCTTCCTGCCTCCGTGGGCATTGCACATGAAATGCACTTAACATGCAGGCAAAACATTCATACACATAAAAATTTTAAATAAAAAATAAAAAGAAATAAAATTGTATCCTTTGTGAAGGTGAAAGTCTTCTTTAACCACTGTTCCTAATTTTAGTAGCCTTCTCAGTCACCTTGTCAGTTTTATACTTCTAGAATATTCTCTCTTTTCTGTACATTTGTAAGTGTCTATATGTTTGTGATTTATATGCAGATATCACTATGGTTTGGATGTAGTTTCTAAAAGTTTGTATTGAGAATTTGGTCCTCATTGAAACAGTATTGAAAGGTAGGATTTTTAAATCTTTATTTTTTTACTTTTTTTTGTTGTTATTTTGAGATAGGACCTCTCTCTGTAGTCTCAGGCTGGCCTGGAAGTCACTATACAGTCCAGGCTTCAGCCTCCCAGTACTGAAATTACAGGTGTAAGCTACCATGCCCAGCTGACAGACAGGATTTTGGAGAAGTGATTTGGTCATATAGGAGCTGCCTTCATGAGTAGATTAATCAGTTTATGGATTAATGTATTATTTTGAGAGTGGCTTTAGTATTGAGCAGTTCTCTGGCTAGCTTGCTGCGTCAACATGCTATGGTACAGCAAGAAGGGCCTCACCAGAGACCAGAACCATGCTCTCAGACTTCCCAGCTTCCAGAACTGTGAGTTAAATAAACCTCTATTTTAATTTTAATTTAATTTTATTTTATTTTATTTATGGTGCTGAGGATTGAGGATCCTCAAGTATACCAAACATATGCTTGATCACTGAGCTACATCCCTAGTCAATAAACCTTTATTCTTTATAAATTATCCAGTATGTAGTAGTCATTTATAGCAATAGAAAACAGATTAAGACAGGTATCATGTCATATGTACGCATTGCTCTGTTTTGGTACAACGAACATATTGGAGATATTTCTACATTTGGCTATACTATTCCCAATTTTTATCTGCTGTGTGGTATGGAAGAGTATAGACATGCCACAACATGCTTTATTATCCATATATTCCATCCACATTTAACTGTATAACAGTTTGGGGGTCACAGGAATGGGCCTTCTCATGACTGAAATAAGAGAATCTCTAGTGAATCACTATTGCTGGGGTGATATGTTATTTTTGACTTTTATTTCATTTTAAAAAATTTATTTATTGAGGGGCTGGAGAGATGGCTCAGCAGTTAAAAGCATTGTCTGCTCTTGTAGAGGACTCAGGTTCAATTCCCAGTACCCACATGGCAGCTAACAACTGTCTGTAACTCCAGTTCCAGGGAATCCAATGCCTTCTTCTGAACTCCGTGGGCATTGCATAACATGGGTGCAACTTACACACATGCAGGTATTACACTCATACACATAAAATAAAAATAATAATATATATATATTTTGGTCTTTTTGAGACAGGGTCTCCCTGTAGCCCCAGCTGTCCTGGAACTCACTATGTAGACCAGGCTGGCCTTGAACTCACAGAGATCTGCCTGCTTCTGCCTCCCAAGTGCTGGGATTAAAGGCGTGTGCCACCACACCCGGCCCAAACTAATATTTTTAAAAGATTTATTTATTGGGCTAGTGAGATGGCTCAGCAGGTAAAGGCATGTGCCTCTGAATTTGACCCCGAGGACCCACATTGATGGTGGAAGGAGAGAACTGACTCTTAAAAATAGTCTTTTGACCTCTACATGCATGCTTACACATATACACATACACACAAAATAAAGAAAAACATAATTCAATTTTAAAAAGATATTTGTGTATGTGTCCATGTGTGTGCAGGAGTGTCTGTGCATATATGTGGAATCAGAAGAGGGGGCTGGGTGCTCTCCTCTATCACTCTCTGCCTTTTCCTTTGAGTCAGGGTCTCTCTAGGAAGCTAGAAGCTGAAAACCCTAGTGATCCTCCTGTCTTCACTCACCCTTGGAGCGTGGGTTACAGGCATGTGCAGGATGTCCAAGTTGTTAAGTGGGTGCTAATATCCAAACTCCAATTTTCGAGATTGTGCAATAAGCACTCGTAACTGCAGATGGTTGCTAGCCGCCACATGAGTGCTGGGACTAACCCAGGTCCTCTGCAAGAGCAGATAGCCCCCTGTTGTTATTATTATTATTATTATTATTATTATTATTATTATTTGTCTTTTTGAGGCAGGGACTCCCTGTGGCCCCAGCTGTCCTGGAACTCACTATGTAGACCAGGCTGGCCTTGAACTCACAGAGATCTGCCTGCTTCTGCCTCCCGAGTGCTGGGACTAAAAGCGTGCGCCATCACACCCGAGTTTATTATTTTTAACAGAAACTCCTGGACTGCCTCCAAAACAGTTATATCCATATACCATCCCCTCAGAGGGCCACAGCTCCTTGTCAGAGGTTTCTACACCACGCAGGCCTCCATGGACTATGTTCCTTCATCCAGCAGCCTGAGTGGGGATGGAGCTCTAGCAACAATTCCTTGTAGTATTGCCAGCTAGCCACTTCCCCTCTTGCAACCTTGCTTTAGTCCCAACAGGTAGTTTGTTGGGAAAACAAAAATCACATAAAGGTTACAATGTGTCTAACGTAGGAACCTCAGTAAGTTTCTCCCCATGAGGAGCCAACTTCTATGCCAGCTCTTCTATCTTTCTCATGGGGCCATCCCATTGGTCTGTGAGGGTAACATGCATCATTGCTGGCTCTGCACAGGCACAGGGTTGGGAGAAAGGATTGACTGGTAGGATCTGCCAGCTTTGGGGAGATAGCCCATCTCTTACTTGGTGTTCCCTCCGCTCTGCCTGGGGTACATGGGAGAGTGTCTCTTCCCACATATCCAAGGAAATTGAAGGAAGTTCTATGGCTGATTAGGGAAAGACTGGGATTTATCTTGCTACTCCCTGGCATCATACAAGTACCTAGTGCTGTGCGACTGCACTGTTTAGTCATGCTTCACTGAGACTATCCCAGACTGCAAGGTGGTCAATGAAGAATCATTTTTGTAGTTTTGGGTCTTAGAAACCCACCTCACAGTAGCAAGCCTATGCTCCCAGGAAGAATTTACTGGTTTGCTTAAGGTGAAAGTCTAAGAATTCCAATTTCAGGCATGAGTGAACTTTATCAGGAATTTCCTTCTACCTCAGTCCTGCTCTCCTGTGCTGGTTTCATTTTCATGCAAATCTTTTGTACAAATCCTCAGGAGGTTGTAGAAATGAGCCAACAGGATCAGGATTCTGATCAGAGCAACTTCAGACAGAGGACCAATCACTTGGAGCCAAACTCTGGCCACAGGAAATGAAATACCTCGTTGACCAGTCCTGTCAACCTTGGAACCCACTAAACAGTCAAATAAAGTGAGCAGGGTTGGGGAGTGGCAGAGCCTGAAACCCCCAGGGGAAGGCAGGGTAGGTCGGCAAACCCCACTGAGATATACCACAGATTTCAAGGATGGTGAGAAGCCAGTTAGATGAGAAGGCACAGTAAGAGGAGGTCCTAGCAGGGGGGTCAGTATGTGCAACCTGATTTGTTGAGACCATCAGGACTCCACCTGGCCCCTCAAGTCACCTTGCTTCCTCTGTCTCAGTACCTACCTCCCTAGGCTTTTCTCCTAAAGGCTAAGAGTTTTCTATCTGGGAAGCCCTCCCTCTGTCCCCTCTCTGTATTCCTGGCTACCTTGAGATGGAATACTGCCAAGTCAAAGAACATGAGGGAAACCCCTCTCACCAGTCCCTTTCAACTTTTGATGCATCCTAAGAAGCTCTCAGTAATAGTAATAGAAGCAGAGAACAGCAACAGGAATGATGTGTTCAAATCCACAGAGACCGTGGAGCAGCTGGGTGATGGCAGAGGCACAGCTGTAGAGGAAGGGCTATCTCTGTCTCTCGCTCTCTCCCATATCCCATACCTCAGAAAGAGAGATTCTGAAAACGAAGTCAGGAGGTATACCCTGAAGTTCCCAAGAACTTCCTGGCACTAGCCTTGGTGACAAGGCAGTATGGCAATGGGACCACACAGGGGGCAGAATGGCACACCAGGAACACACCTCATGACAGAATAATAATAATTATTATAATAACAATACCATACATCCAGGACAAACTCAGCTTCCCCAAGCCAACCATAAAATCCCTATGTACAGTAGAGTCTATGTGGATGGAGGGAGGAGTTGCCCATCAGCACTTCCAGGCCTTACTCATATCAGCTCCTTAAGGAGGGGCCAGCCCCTCCTCCTGCCCCCTGCTAAACTTGGAACAAATTGAAGAGGCTGGCACTGCCAAAGTCACTCCTCTAGGTGGGGCATGCCTGTACCAAAGGGCTAGACCCCTCACCCCAAATGGCCTAGTTTCAAGGGATGGGTAGATAAGCCTCTGAGAGACCAGGTGGCCACAGCTTTGGGGTATGGCTTCTTTGAGTCCCCTCTCAATCCCCTCCTAGCTCCTCCTGTGGGCCTGCCCATAGCAGGAAGGGGCCAGGGACACTCATGCATGCAGAGTTGACCCATGGCATGCTTGGTCTACCCAGGCACCATGCAGCCAGCCTGGACTGTTACACAGGTGTTGGAGGGTTGAATGGGCAGTGGAGTCTGTATGGCTCTCCTTGGGCTGGGCAGCTGATTCAGTCTATGGTGGGGCCTCCTGAGAGCCAGGCCTTTGGGCTGGTAGCTGCAGAAATTCTGGAAGTACTAAGTCCTCTTTGCGAAGAAGGCCTCTCTGGTCATGGGCTCCACTGCTTTGCACCCGGTTTAGCAGCTCCACCAGACCTAGGGGGGGGGGTGCAGTGTAACCACTGAGTCAGGAGGGTCACATGTGTAGAGAACCTATATGAGCAGTGTTCCTATGCCAACCCTTCACTACCCTGCTGCTTGTTATGGCCATAGCCTCTTGGACCCCAGACCCTTTGTCTCAGTCCTTGTAGTCTCTCAACTCCTATGGCTCCCAGTCCTCCTGTTCCCATCCCAGTGGCATCCAGCCCCATGCCTTTGCTCAAGCTTCCTTGATGTCACCCTCTATGGTTCTAAACCCCAATCCCACTTCCTTAATCCCTCTAATCCCCTAGACCTCACCGTCCCCACAGTGTACCTTCAATGTCACAGGTCTGCCGTTTCCCAGAGGAATTGCCAGCATCCTCCACCAACAAACTGGGGGGCAATGGAGGGAGATGAGTGTCCTTGTTCTGGGTTCTAGGAGACCATCCCTGCAAGAAAGTGGGGTCAGAGTCACAGCTGGGAGGGGAGAAACAACAGGTGGAAAAGGCCCTCCCGGGGCTCTTGGTCACCTGGCTATGGCAGGGGGATATGTTGCTCACTTCATGCATCTTTGCACCTGCAACAGAGAGCACACCATTGGGTTTTGCCTTCCTCTTGGAACCCGTCCTCCTGTGCTGTGGCCATATGCGGATATCAAGTCTCGGGTTAAGCATCACTCACCTGGAAGAGTGTCCAAAACTAGTGTCTGTGCAGCCACTGAGCTCACCAGCTTCTCCAGATCCAGCAGTTGTTTCTCTCCTGACTATGGAGAGAGGTTAGCAACCTATGAGATAGATTGCCCTTTCCACTGCTGCTCCTGCAGGCCCTGACCAGCAGCTCCACAGCTCACCCTGTGTACAGCAACCTGATCCAGGCTCAGGCCGTGCTTCGCCAGGATGGGCTGCAGCGCCTCCTGCAGACGCTTGGTGGGCTTGGCAGAGATCCGCACCACACGCTCCAGCTTTGCTAACTCCAGCCTGCACAGGACCCTAGAGCTGCAGAGTAGCAGAGACCCAGCCCCACACCTCCCGGAACAAGGTCCATAGGGGGCAGAGTTGGACCAGGAGGATGGGACTGTTGTGGGGGGCGCTCTAGCCTAGGGTTCCAAGCACAAGGGGTGAGGCCTGGGAAGAGAATGGGAGACAAAGAGAAAGGAAGGCAGATCAGGCCTTGGGGCAGGGCACTCACTGGAAGGTGATCCTGTTTTCCAGCCGTACTTCCTGGTCCGCCAGCACAGTGCAATCCTGATCCATGACCAGAGCCTTCTGTAGATGCCAGGCAGGATCTAAGAATCCCCTCTCTCCACCACAAACCATCCCCTTGGGGATATTTGGGAACTACCTTCACTTCCTATTACTTCTAGCATAGTTCCCTAAAGATCAGAAGGAAGGGCCCATGGGTAACAGAAGCTTAGTGGAGTAGATGGGGTAGGAACCAAATTAAAGTTGGAGTCTGATAAGGTCAAGGCCAAGGAATCTTAAGAGTGGAAGATGCTTGGGAATGCTGGAGGAAGCTTAGGAAAGGACCTAGTTATGGGAGACAGAGGGATGTGGGAGCATGAAATGTTAATGGGGATGGTTCAATAAGAGGGAGGCTTAGGTCTTGCCTTCCTTTAGGTATGGGAGACCCAAACAGACCATCTGGATATATTCTCTACCAGCACCACCCACCAATTGTCAGCCACAAACAGGTCTTGTCCCTTTTCAAACACTTCAGTTCTCTCTATCCCCTTCTACTAAAGCTGGTCTCCTTACTGCAAACAAAAGGCCAACCCCTTCTAAGACCAGAAATATGTGAAGCATTTGGTACAGTGCCTGGCACATAGTAGCTATACAAACAAGCCTGCTGTCTGTATCAGTCCAGGGTTTGGGGAGGTGCTTCAGAGGGAGGGAGAGACTCTCCCAGACAGTAGGCCTGTGCTGTGTCACAGGGACAGGTGGAATGTGGGTGGTGAAGTTATACTTAGCAGGCACAAAAACCCATCTGGGCTGTTGGCAGCTGTTCTGGTGGCCTAAGAAAGTGGGGAGAGTGCCTCCCACTGCTGCTGCCCTCACACCCCCATGCCCCAAGTCCCTGAACATGTCTTGCAAGTACCTATCTCTAGTCCCTCAGCCTGGAATGTCCTCCCCATAGAGCTCTACCAGACAAACTCCCCTGCATCTCATCAGCTGCTGCCTTTTTCCTGAAGCTTTCCAGATACCAAGCAGACATGCCTACCTTCCCCCAAGAGACACCCTCTGGAGGTTTGGCTCCTCCTAATCGCCTCTCACCTGGCTTACCTCCAGCCTGGACCTGATGAACACAGCCTCAGATCCAGTTCCTCTGTTTACCCACCTTGGCTACGCCTTAGGGCCTAACTACTAGATGAACAAAATCCTGTCAGTTCCCCCTGGAATGCAGTATTGCTCCTTTGGATCCCCTTTCCTGGATATTTTAAAGTGAGTTTCCTCTAGATCTTAAAGCTTAATGCTATTTTGTTTAGGGATTAGGTGCACTGGATACTCTTGGTGATGGAAGAGGTGAGGGCATCCCCCAATGGCAATTTCAGGAGTGAGCCTGTGGGGAATGATAGTTTGAATTGTGGGAGTGAAGGAGAAAAATCCTAGTTCTAACAGTACCGTTTCCCCAGCTTTACCTCCCTGAAACCATCACAGTAGGATGACAAAGAAAGCTGGAAACCAGGATGAGTCTGGGGGTGGAGATTAGTGTAGGAGTAGGATTCTTGTGGGATATGGGTGGATATCTGAGAATGACTGAGGAGTTGGTGCTGTGGTCCATTTGAATTGGGCATAGGGGTATGAATGAGGTTGCGATATGGAATACAGTTAGGAAGGGGGTGATGACAGAGAATGAGGTTAGAATTAGGTGTGGCCAGAGGATTAGGAAAAGAGTTGTGCTAAGGTCAGGAAGGAGGTTAGAGTTGGGGTCGCGTTGGGTTCATACCTGTTCGTTGCCCACCAGGTAGACCTTAATGTCAGGTAGAGAGAGGCCTCGCTTCTCACAGATGCCTGACAGCATGTCACGGATGGTGAGGCCAGGTCGAGCCAAGGCCAAGGAGGCTGTGCCATCAGGCAGGTACACGCAGCAGTATTTCCCTGGCCGACTTTCACTGTCACCGTCTCCACTCCCAAGGCTTTTTCGGTGGCTCTGATTCTGCACAAGAGCAAGCAGAGCCTGCATGTTCACATGCAAGGGCACACAGACAGGTACAAAGAGACACATGAGCTCTTTGGGGCACATATATATATACATACATGCAAGGGCACACCTAGAGGCAGGCAAAGATGTGTCCTCCTCCAGAAACAGGTATGTACACCCAAACACGGACACTCAAAGGCAGCACACACACATACAGGATACACCTGGGCACCCACATCTACACATGCATCTGCCAGCTGAGGATGTGCACCCACAGCATGCACGGGGACCACTGAGGTGAGAACAGGAAGAAAGGATGAGGGGATGGCTCTGCAAAGCAAGACAGAAGTAGAAGTGTGGACAACCACTGGGAATGATGGGGTTCATAAAGGGTACTGGGTAGGGGTTCTAACCAGAAATGCACCGTTTCCCCTAGGCAGTCAGCTCACCTCAGATTTGCTGCTGGCAAAGGCAAGGAAGCCGAGGTCCAGACTTGCCGAGGAATTCAGGGATCCTTGAGATTCCCGACGCAAGGCAGAGTTCATGGCTCCACCCGTCATCTCTAAGGGGAAGGGGGCAATGAAGGACCCCTTCTCCTACCTACCCATCCCTACGGTGAGGTCTTCCCACTTGGCGGGCCTTGTTTGGAGCTATCCTGCAGGGCCACAGAGTGTGTGAGGCCCTGGGTGTGTTGCTACTGTGGAGTCCTCCCAAACTTCTGCAAGCAGAGTCACCTGGAGAAAGGAGCCGGTCTCCGGGACCTGTATTTCGTTTTGGTTTTGTTTGCTCTTTATTCCTCTTTCAGACAACTGACTCCCAGACTTGAAGAGTTTCCTTTTTTTTCTTTTTTTTTTTTTTTTTGTTTGTTTGTTTGCTTTATTGCAGACCGTGGGTCAAGTAGGAGGAAGGGGGCGTTCCCAAGACTGGCCAAAACTCCCGCGTGGGCTTATTTCTCTGACAGGCTCCTGGCCTCACCTCTGCGGAAGGACTTGCGAAGCGGGCGGCCACAGGGGCCCTCAGCAAGTGGCAGCTGCCCCAAGTCCTCCACGCCCAGCGGCAGCGACTTCCCAGGCTTCAGCTTCGGCTTCTGCGAGTACAGGGAAGACTGGTGCGGAGCTGCGCCCTAGCGCGCACGCTGATCTACATCTGGGGTGCCCTTCCTGCAGGCTGTCCGCAGCCCCCACCCCGCCTCCTGCCACCTCTGATCCGCACCTTCCTGGTGGTGTCAGGGCTGCCGAGGCGTGAGCCGCCAGGTTGCCGCAGTGGGCGGCCCTCGGCCTCCGCCAGCAGGCACTCTTGGTACAACGGGGACTTGACGAAGCGCGCATAGCTGTCGAACTTCATCAAATTGAAGATCTGCGGGGCAAGTGGGTGTGGGTGGCAATGAGCGCCGGGAGAGGACAAGGGAGGGCGGGAAGGGTGGACGCTGCACTGCGCTCCTGAGTCCCCAGTGCCTACTCTTGGCCCCACCCCAGCCCATTCTTCACAGCTGCCTAGGGTCTAACCCTGGGACTCTTGCCCCACCCTTACATTCGGCGCTGGGTCAGTATCCCGGTTGTCCCCTTCCCCTCCCACTCAGACTCCACCCTGTATCTGGCCCTGTCCGCTTTTCCTTTGGTCTCCCTTCTCAGTTGGGCCTTGCCCCTCGGCACCACTCACCTGAAGCTGCTGTGTTCGAAACATATCCGGCCGGGGCTGGGTCAGCACCTCCTCGCTGAGCCAGGCCTGCCTATCGATGTTCACGGGGCTCAGTGCCTGGCTGGACAGGAACTCATGGTAGATGCTGCGGGCCTCCTGAGCTAGCTGGGGAAGAAGGGAGGGAAGGGGTCAGGGGGGCATGCCCCAAGCCCTAGTCCTCACCCCTCTGTACCATCTGTCTCTCCACCTGCTGGGTGTCGCTGGCTGGGATCTGTTGGAAACGCTCGCAGGCCTTCCAGAAAGTTACGTTCTCTGCACTGAACTCCTTCTTCAGGAATTCCTGGGAGGAGAAGAGGAAGGCCTTCAGACACAGGCTGGATCAGGAAACTGTTCAAAGACTGGGACAGACACAGGGCCAAGACAGCAGACAGACAGATGGTGCCAGATCCGGAGGCACAGAAAGAAAAAGAAACAGATGAAAATAAGGAGAAGGAAGAGTTCCCAGCTTGGGGATGCGGGAGAGGGTGCCAAAGGAAGACTGATGAGGGAGCAGGGAGAGAAGCCCACTCCAGCCAGCCTGAAGCCCTGTCTATGCCCTCTCCAGCACCCCTCCCCCTCCCTGCAGTGGCATCTGCCATCTGCCCTCCCTCCATTCCACCCCACCCCAGGGCTTACAGTGAAGTAAGCCAGGCCCAGTGGGTCTTGCAGTAGTCGCTCAAAGGACAGGGCCCAGCTGGCTACCGGCTGTTCCTCAGTGGAGAAGGGGCTGCTGGGGCCACTGGGGAGGCTGTGGATGCTGAGGGAGCTGCCCCGACCCTCACCCTGATCCTGGGAACCCACGGTGCTGCTCAGCTCTGCAGGGGGATGGACAAGTAGGGGTAAGGCATCTTTCCCTCTCAGCCCCTGCCCAGTCCCCCTGCAGGTAGGCATCCACTCTACAGGTACATTACCTGAAAGAACAGCAGGTGACAGGGGTGTCCCCACTCACTTCTACCTCCCTATCCCTTCATCCCAGGCATGCCTCATCCACACGTTCTGTCACTTACCTCCATCGGAGACAGCGAGAACCTAGGAGAGACCCAAGGTAGAAAGTCACAGCAGAGCCCTGTGAGGAATCCAAGCTACCATACTGGGCCCAGCCTCCAAGGAGCAGGACCTGTGTTCTCCACCTGGAGAGTCATGCTGGATCTCCCCCAGATAGTCATTGCTGGTCAGGGTTTTGCTCAGGCTATCCTGGCTTCTTTTCCATCATGTTCCAATCACTGTTTTGTGCCAATCATTGTATTCTGGGACTTACTCAGGGTACCTTCTGGTGGTCCTCAGTTCCCTCCTCCCTCAGCCTCTGCTAGGTGAACCCAGGTGTGCAGAGACTTCAATCTTGCCTCCACCCATTACTATTTGTGTGGCTTTGGGCACATCAGCTCACTTGTTGGGCTTCCTTCTGTAAATAGGGGATGATGCTACACATAATAACTTTCTTCCTGAGGCTGTACAATATATTTATAGCACCTCAACTGGCTAGCACATGGTGAAGCGCTATATCAATGCTTGCTGTTATCTTTGAAGAACAGGTGTTTCTGTAACCATTGATCTCATTGGGCTGTTTCCTCTTAGGGGTGTTCCTTCTTCCACAAGTCCCACTCTACCTTGGCAGGGCACATGATGCTATGTTTATGGCATAGATCACAGAGCAGGGGCCATCAAACTTTAGCATAGAATAGCCAGGAGTACCCCACCTCTAAAGTTCAAGTTCAGTAAATCCAGGATGGGGCTAGAGGCTCTCCATTTCTAACAAGCTCTCAGGCAATTCTGGTGCTTGTCCAAGGACAGTATGAGTAGTACTGTTGTTCAAGCCAACGCTATTCTCTTCTACAATGTGCATTAACCCTGACTTCTCTGGGAATCTCAGCCATTGCTAAAACAGAAAAGCCCCCCTCTTGAAGTAGCTCCTGCAGTGGTTTTTCTCCTGTTTCCTTTCCTACCTTCCTACTTCCTTCCTGCAGGGTGGCCTCTACCCCTCCCTGGCCCTTTCTTGGGACCTTTGCCCCCACCAACCTCTATCTCCAACCACATACAGCCAACTTCCTGTCAACATACACCTCCAGATGTCCCATAAGCTATTCAAACTCAGCCAGTCCCAAATGGGCACCCCTTCTGACTCCACTACAAGAGTCCTGAAATAGCTTCGCTGTGTCTTCTTTCTTCCATCACCTAGACCCTCAGCACCTCCAACTCTCCCTCCTTTACCTCCAACATTTCCCTAGGCCCTGTTACAGGAACTTCCATCACTTGTTCCTTCTTTCAATGCCCACTGGCAACAAGCCTGGGAAAGCCTCTCATGCCCTGTTCTCCGTTCCCCACTCCTACCCTAGGAGCACCCAGATCATTGTAAGTCAGGATTGGTCTTCAGGATAGTGTAAGATATTGGCCTCCAGAAAAAAATTAAGCTTAAAGGGCCTTCTTATGTTTGAAAAAATCAAGATATTTTTACATTGGATCCCATTTTTCTATTCCCTCTTCAAGACTGATGTTCAAGGTACCATAAACTTAGCATAGCAACCTTGGCTGGCACTGAGCAATCATTGACTTTCCCTAAAAGAAGTTCTCACTCCTCTCAAAGGACTCTGGGGCCAACGTGATGCATCTACATTACTTCTGGAGGGAGTGGGAGGCAGGTAGTACCTCAGATTGCTTGAATTGGAACTGTGTCCTGTGTGAGTATGGAAAGTAGACTTCATTGTCTCTTTGCCTTTGTTTTGTCATCTCTGAAAATTGGACAAATAATGGCCCTGACTTCAAAGGATTGCTTCAAACAAGTTAACAGAGAAGGAACTCAGAACACTTTGTGAAGTAAATGCTAAGAACATTAACAGCTATTGTTACTGCATTAGCACTGATACCTGATGCTGCTAGGTATTTGAGTTTGCTACCCTGCAGCAGAGCAAAGAACACAGTGTTAAGGGTCTCTAGATAAGGATTCAAATCCTAATTTTGTGTTTTTCCTGTTTTGCTCCTATTGGAGTCTTTCTCTCATCTGGAGCCTAGAGGTTGAGCAGGAAAGAAAGTTTGCAACTGCCTGTGCTGGGCGTAGGACTGGCTCCCCAGCACACCACACCCTGCTCCCCGCCCCCAGGCCTGCCCCCGCTTGCTTTTCCTAGCACTCCTCCAGGTGACCCTCTGCATCAGTCATCTCTCTCAACCAAGGCTACAGGGTGGGAGGCAGGAGTGAAGAGAGACAGTGGAGACCCTTCAGGATAGCTGAGGTCCCTAAGCAGGCTGCTCCTTTCCTCCAGGAGCACCTGCCTGTGCCCTGCTGCTGTCTTCCTCCCCCAGCTGCTCCACAGCTACAGCTGTGTTTCTAGCTACGGAGCCTGTGCCGCTGTCGTCCTCCCCCCAAGTTCTACAGTGATATAAGCTGTCCCCATCTCAGTGCATGGCCTAACTCTCCTCAAGCATCCTCAGCCTTTCTGCTCTCCTCCAACCCTGAATCAGCCTGTCCCTTGTCCCTTGTAGGTAACCCTCTGTGGACAGGAGTCCCAGACATGACCGAAGGTGCTGAAACTGAAGCCAGCCTGCATTTGGGTTTTGTTTGGCTCTCAGAGGCTCTAGTTCTACATTATATTTAAGTGGATGCCTGTGTCCTTAAGTAGGGCTGGTTCCTAGGCCCTCCCCTCCCCACTGTTCCACTCAGGACCCTGTTTCTTGTCCCACCTTAATCAGGTTGCAGTTGCCAAGTTACAGCAAACCCCTACCTGCACCTGACTAATGAGCCCCTCCAACATCACTGCTTCCCTCCCCCTCACCTCCACCCTACACTTTATCAAACTTCTATTTTTCCCACACCCCTACATACTCCTGCTTCCTGTTTTCTGTCTCTTCTGCCTGAGTACCTACTTCTACAGTCCCTGGCACTGTTCCTAGATCCCTACCCATAAGTCACCCCCAAATGTCGGTTTCCACCCTTCCCCACCCACTACACCTAATGCCCACTCATGTCTGGGCCTCTTATCCCTGCAGTCTGGGGGCTCCTAGAGGGTAGGCCTGGTTGGGAATGCAGTCCATCTGAAAACCCTGCTCCCAAGGCACCCTCTTGTGCTTCAAGTAGCCCTCAGGCACTGGCCAAGTTCTCTCTCTACCCAAGAGCTCAGTTGCTCACCACGCTGCTCTGATGCTGTTGCCTGAGAGTTTATGTTCCAGCCTCTCTTGCCTCACTGGTTGATGGAAGAACTTGACTAAGCTGGTAGAGGGACAGAAATCTAGAGCTAGGAGTACGGAGGAAGGATAGAGTCCAACTGTAATTCAGCCAGTTTAGAAGTTGGAGTAACTTCTCTTCCTTGAACCTCATTTTCCCTCATGTACCTCATGGGAAAGTGGGATACAGAGCCACAGCCATGACTTACATAGGTTACCAGGCATAGGGAAGTTGTGAACAGTGACTCCACTTCTTGCCTCTGCCTGCTTGAGGAGAAGTGGTGAGTGAATGGAGGAAAAGGGGAAGAAAAGATAAGGAAGGGTGTGGTGGCCAGTGGCACCCTCAAAGCACAATCTGGTCTGCTTTAGTTTGCCATGCTTTGTTCTTAAGCAGTGACGCTAAGAGCCATTAGTACCTGAGGACACTAAGTGAGGATGCTACTCCAAATTTCCCGAGATCCAGCTATGTGACAGGTACCCATATTCTCACTCCATTCCTAACAGCAGATATTATTGCTCCTATTTCACAGATGAGGAAAATGAAGCCTAGAGAAGTCATAGAGCTGGAGAGTAGCAGAGCTAATATTAGAAGTCAAGTTTGCATGTCATCACTGGAGTCTGAAGTCTTTTCCCCACCTCCCTAGGCTGCTTCCTTTTATGGATGGGGAAGCTTGGAGGTTCAGGACTGTAGCCCTTGGAGCACAGGCAGACAAGGACAGTGGTGGTGAGAGCCCAGGGACTCCTCTTGAACTGTGTCCCTAGAGGGTTTGGACATCAAAGAGAGAGCAATAATGGAATGATGGGCCCCCCTCAGGCTTTCTCTGCCCCTCACCTGAGGCTCTTGTCCAAACCAGAACTTTATTCCAGTATTTTTACCCATGGCCTTTGTGCCTTGCCAGATTGGAGAACCTGAACTATCACTGAGTTGTACTCTTGAGGCTCCAAGATTTGCTTGTGGATGTCCATAAAGCTCTAGATGCCTGATCCCTTCAGACTGAGCCAGCCCTGTGGAGCTGTCCCCCAGCTTTGGTGCTTTCACAATGTACCTCTGCACTGGAGTGCTCAGCCCTGAGTTGGACACCAGGAGCAGAGAGGCACATGGTCTTCTTGTAGGTCTCTTTGTCAGGAAGAGAACACTAGATGAACCCCTTTCCCAAAAGCAAGAGAATGTGACTAACTGGAACTTAAACTTCCAGCCTGTCTTAGGCCTTGTCCCTCCACAGTCACTCTGTTTCCCTGTATGCATGTCTCCCTGTGGGCTATTCCCCTTCTAGCTTGCACATCTTTTAAAGGCCATCTTCTACAGCTTTAGAAGGTAATGGAGAATATTGTTTTCCTTGCCAGACCCCCCTCAGGCATTCTCTATCCCTGAACATCAGCTCTTAACCAAACCAGGAATTTATTCTAGTATCTTCACCCATGTCTTCTGTGTCTTGCTACACTGGGGGGGCTACACAAGGGACAGGGACTGGGCTGATGACCTGGGTCTTAAGTGTCTAGAGTGGGACAACACAGAGCAGTCCTTGGGTGAAAGAGTGAGTGCACAAATGAAGTGGCAGCTGGGGCTGTGTGAAGATTTTGCTGGGAGGGGACTGGGAGCCTTCTCTTAAGTGACAGGTTTTGTTGCAACACCCTGACAGGCTGAGTGGCAGAAAAATGAGACTGATAACTGACATTACCTCAGCAAGGAATGGTGGTGGATGGGGAGGGGGAACCAAAGCCAGGCAGTGCTGGGGAGGCATGCAAATGTTGACCCTTCTACTCAACAGCACATCATTTTTATTTCTCTGAGCCTCCCCTACGAAGTAACTCCTGGAAGGAACTAGATGACTTGCCCACAGGCACCTTTCCATCCACCAATGTCTGTTCACTTCTCCCTGCTCTAGCCAAGCACTTCCTCATAAAGCTATCAGAAAGAGGACAATCTGTGTCCCATGAGATTCATGAGGTTACACAAAGAATTCTGAACGGGCCCAAGATGGGCAGAGGTAAACCTGTGAGTGACAAGTTTCTGAGAAGAGTAGGGGCAGTTGTGGGCTTAGCAGAACTTGGGGCAGAACTTGGGTCACCCTCTTTATTCTGAATGACTTTTGGATAGACAAGCCATGGGCTGATACAAGAGGGACAAAGGTTAGGTCTATCTCCAGTCTCCTCATATGGCCTGAAGGACTGGGTACTATTTAAGAAGCATCCATCCAGTTCTTCTCCTGGGGTAGCCCTGGGGCTACTTCTCCTTGTCTCTGTGGACTGGACACCCAAGGAAGAGCAGTCCAAGCCCCATGTCCACCCAGGATGGAAGTGTAAGGCAGGTAGATAGGCTCTTGGACTTTTAAAGTTGGACTGGTGGTAGAGGTAGTGGGATGGGGGCTCAGCTAGCTTTGAGACTTGGTCTTTCTTCCACATAAATAGCATGGAGTTTGGCAATAAAGGGGTGCTGGAAGGAGAGATGGAGACAGATTTGGGAATTAGAAAGCAGAAGTGGGGGCTAGGTTGGCTCAGCTTTTTTGTGAGGCAGGAGATCCTTATAGAGGGGCTGAGAATGTAGGGACTATTGAAATGACATTTCCACATCCTTCACAAGGGGTTGAGCATCTCAAATTCATCATGCAATTTAGTCTACAGGCTCATGATCCATTCCAATTTCATCTTATAGGTGACAAAATAGGAAGGGACCCCTCCCAGGAAGGGACAACAGAACTAGAGCTAGAACCCAAGTCATTCTGAGTCCATTGGCTTTGTCCCATGGTATTAAGGTGCGGCTTGAGGAGGGGGGGGTGTCGGGATGCCGTCTGGCCTTCTGGAGTTGTTCGGTGGCTCTGCCAAGTAACCCAGATCCCCAAAGAGAAAAGAAAATATCAATGCAACCTGCTCCATCTGCTGAATGAATGAGAAGAGACAGACCCTCTGAGGGAAGCTCTAATCAGGAGTTAAAGAGCCCCAAAGAGGATATAAGGTGATGGGGCAGCTACAGCTAGGGACATCTTATACTCAGATATACACCCCCCACACACCTGACATATACAGGCATTTCCTGGAAGCCTAGGAATAGAATAGGCAGGAGATGTTCATCCTGTCCTGTCCTTACTGACTCATCCTGGGTGGCCCAAAGAATACTAGTTCTGTCAGGTTGCCTCTGGAGCAGGTTTATCCAGAAGGTAGTGACCCAGCAAGGGCTGCTCTTAACTTGTGCTTGGGCACCTAGGGCATAAGGAAGAGGGGAGGACTGAGGCAGAGGGAGATACAAGGGCTTGGGTCATTGGTGGTATGAGCAGGGGATGAAGAGGTCAGCAAGTCTACCCTGTGAACAGCTTCAGATGGGGCTAACCCCAGTATCAGATGAGGAAACTGTAAGTTTGGTCTGCATACAGGACCAGAGCCTGTGCCCACTGTGCTTTGGACTCATCCCTAGAGTTTCACCAGACTCCTAGCAAAGCATCTGGATGGGTCCTGGGGTAAGAGCACCAGGTACCACTATCAGCTGCTATCTGTACCTAACTTCTCCTGCCTTCTGGCAGCCCCAACCCTGCCAGGTGTGCCTCCTGGACTCCACCCTGGATGTGCCCACCCCCTCCTTGTAGCTCTGGCCCAGAGCCGGCACTCACCATGCGCCCGTTGGGGACACCCAAGTGCTTGGGCTTCCCTGGCATACTGCCGCTGATCACCGGTCCCCGCCACGGGGCCACCCACCACAGGGACTGTGGGCAGCACCGACCAGAGCTCTCACGGTGGCTGGTAGGCAGTGGAGAGAGCTCAGCTCTGCTCCTGTGGGCCCTCACATCCTGAAACACCAGCTCACTACCTCTTTTCTCTGCCACAGGAAGTGTCTCTATAGAAACCAAACCACAGAAAAGAAGCAAGGTCTAAGAGAGAGAACGCCTCTTCCTACTTGCATACACACACGGTTCATGCACACACACATGCCGCCAACGCACCCTTGGTAGCACCCCATGCAAGCACCAACACACAGCAGGGGCCTTCTTGTGCCCAGCAAGGAGCCCAGAGTGTTCTGGTTCGGCTTGGGAGCTCCAAGGTCATGAATGAGCACACAGAAGTGCACAGTCACAACTAGGCACCTTTGTACCAGGCTGTCTGGCAGAGGTTGCTATTGACATGTGCACTGAGTCCTGTGTATTCACACATGTGCTTCATACCGCACACATTTACTCCACACCTATTGTGTGCCAGGCTTATACATGGTCAGCACCCTTACCTCAAGCGGTTTGCATGTACAGATTACTCCTATCCCTAGACACCTATGGGCTGTCATCTGATGCCCAGGGGAGCAGACAGGTAAACACCTTGCATGTGTGACTACACATACGGATGTGCATGTCGTGCACACATAGGCTGTCCTTCATAAGGGCACCTGAACCTTCAGACATACACATAGCAAGCTGGGCATACTGGCACATGCCTATAATCCCAGCACTTGGGAGGGAGAGGCAAGAGAATCAGGAGTTCAAAACCAGCTTTAGTTACATAGTAAGACTGTCTCAAAACAAACAAACAAAAATGATTTATACATGCATAGTCCCTTGGCATACCAGTTCATAGGCCTATGTGCGCTCAGACACCCCAGAGACATGTGCAACAAGTATGCACATGCTCACTTGTATGTAGGGGAATGGATCACAAAGACATAAGTTCATCCATACTCACCTAGAAATTCCACCTTGGTATATAACTGTCTTGCTCAGGCTGCTAGAAGAAAAATACCATGAACTCAGTGGCTTAAACAACAAGCTTTCATTTCTCACAATTCTGGAGGCTGGCAGATTTGTCTGGTGAGTTCTGACTTGCAGATGGCCATCTTTTTGCTATGTCCTCATGTGGCAGATGGCAGAGAGGAAGAAAGTGTGTTCTCTCCTGTCTTGTCTTCTTTTTAATTGTTTTTAAATTTTTTATTTTATTTATTTTTATTTTATGTGTATGAGTACTTTGCCTGCATGTATGTAAGTGCACCTGTGCATGCAATACCCAAGGAGGACAGAAGAGAGCACCAGATGTCCTGAAACTGGAGTTATCCCTGGAACTGGAGTTACAGACAGTTGTTAACTGCCAGGTGAGTCCTAGGATTTGAACCCAGGTCTTCTGCAAGAACAGCCAGTGCTCTTAACTACTGAGCCATCTCTCCAGCCCTGCCCTTTCTTGTCTTATAAGGACACTAATCCCATCACAATGGATCCATCATGATGTAATTACTGTCCAAAGGCCCCATCTCCAAATACTATCAATATATGAGTATTTCAATATATGAGGAAAGCATTCTTTAAAAAAAAATTTTTTTTTTTGAGACAGAGTCTCCCTCTAGCCTCAGCTGGCCTGGAACTCACTGTGTAGATCATCAGGCTGGCCTCAGTCTCACAGAGATCCACCTGCCTCTGCCACCTGAGTGCTGGTATTAAAGGTGTGTGCCCCCATGCCTGGCATAGCTATTTATTTATTTATTTATTTATTTATTTATTATTTATTTGTGTGTGCGCACGCACATATACATGTGCATATATGTGAGTGCCATAGCATGCGTATGAAAGTCAGAGGACAATTTGTGGGAGTTAGGAGTCAGTTCTCTCCTTCCATCATGTAGATCCTGAGGCTCAAACTCAGGCTATCAGGCTTGGTGGTGAATGCCTTTACACGCTGAGCCATCTCATCTCAGCAGACTCCCCTACCCACCCCTTTTGAGTCAAGGCCTCACTGTTAGCTAGCCCCAAACTTCTGTGTTCAAGCAACTCTTTTGCCTCAGTATCTCTCTTTCCTGGCTGGGTATAGAAGATGATGAAATCCTAGAGGATTGTGAAGCCACAGAAGAAAGGAGCAGGGTATATGCATTAGTACATGGAGGCATGCCATCCATCAACCTGCAATATCAGCTTTGGATAGTGATGAGAACGCTCAGAAATGAACTTTGCACCACTATAAATACTAGAGTCGATTTGTTATAGCAGTTAGCATGACCCTAGTTAACTTACCTCTTTTTAGACAACTTGCGTCTGGTGACCCAGAAAGGAATTTGGAGTATATAAAGTTTAGGACTGGAACAGTGCCAAAGATGATCTTATTAAGGTGCTGGGGATGAGTTGGTAGAGTACTACGCATGAAGCATAGGTTCAATCTCCCAGAACTGCCAAAAACTAGCCATGGTGGTGGACACTTTGGTTCCAGAAATAGAGGCAGGAGGATCAGGAAGTTCAAGGCCATCCCTGGTTGTATACCCAGTATGAAGCCAGCTGCATTACAGGGGGAGAAAAAAGCAAACAAACGCCATTAACTCTTTACTGTAATCCCAGCATGTAGGAGGCTGAGGCAGTAGGACTGACATCAGTTTGAAGACAATCTGGGCTGATAAAGTGCCTATGAGGCCAAGGATGCAGCTCATTGGTACAGTGTTTGCCTAGACATATGCAAGGCCCTGGATTCAATGTTCAGCATCACAATAAATAATAAGTAAACAAGTAAATAATAAAGTGCCTATGGGGGCTTAGGGTATGTGATATGACTGAAGCCTGTCTGTCTGCTGTGCCATGGATCCAGGACTCATCCAGGTTTCTTTGGGTACTTTACAGTTTACAAGGTCTTCTCCCAGCAGGGCTTTATTTGGTCCTCACAACCATTTTTGTGACTAATGCTCACTACTCCTGTTTTACAGATCAGGAAATGGGCTCAGAGAAAAGTGAGTTGTCTGAGGTTATACATCATTTTAAAGCTCTGCTTAGCTGTAATATATTCTTGGTGTTGGAACTTGGGCCTGAGTCACCATAATCCAAGCACCAACTGCTTCATTTTCCTTCCCTCAAAGGCCCAGACCCAAGCTCTGCCTGGACACCCTCCTAAGTTCTTCTGGTCCTGTTTCTTGCAAAAATACCTCTTCTCATTGGTATTAGTTAATTTTCTCATTGCTGCGATAAAATACCTGACAAAATCAAGTTAGGGAAGGAAGGGTTTATTCTGGCTCACAGTTTGAGGGTCTAGTCCATCAAGGTAGGGAAGCCATGGTAGCAGGAGCATGAGGTTTCTGGTCACACTGCATCTGCAGACAGGAAATGGAATGAGCTAAATGTTGGTACATAGTTTATCTTCCCTTTTTTATTCAGTTCCAGAACTCCAGTCCACATAATGAATCTTCCTTATTCAATGAAACCTTTCAGAAATACTTTCACAGACACACACAGAGATGTGTCTCACTAGTGATTTTAAATCCAGTGAAGTTGACAATGAAGATGAACTATCATACCATTTCTCCAACACAGAAGCCAATGCTGCATCTTTGTTTGTTTGAGACAGGGTCTCTTGAGTCCCACAGGCCTCAAGCTTCTGTAGCTGAAGATGACCTTGGACTTCTGATCCTCCTGCCTCCATCTCCAAGGGATTTCAGGTTCATGCTACTACCTACTTCTTATTAGTTTCAAACCTTTGTGTTCCAACATCCTTCTTAGACTTGCATCATTAGTTCCCTTTGCTGAGAATGACTTCCTCTCCCTGGTCAACTATTTATTCTTCATGGCCCAATTCCAGCTTCTAGAACAAATATTCTTTCACCAATTAATTACCTATGTACACCATTCCAGATGCTGGGGACTCAGTACTGACTATAAGTCACAAAAACTTCAGCCCTTGTTGAGGTCCAGTGGAATGTACATGTCCTTGTTTGCACAGGTGTAGGTAAATCTCTGGAAAGGTATGCTCATTAGCAGATGGGAGGCAGAAGGATTTTTCTGGATCTGTATATTCTCTGTGTGTCAATATACATACGTATACACACATATCCTTATAAGTACAGTCAACCATCATATCCGCAGGATCTTTATCTACGGTTTTAATTAAATATAGATGGAAGATATTCAGAAAAAACCCACATCTCTACTGAACATGTAAAAACTTTTTCTTGCCATTCCCTAAACACAACTACTTACATATAATTTATATTGTATTAAATATCATAAATAATCTAGAGATTATTCAAAGTACCTTAGAAACCAGGAATGATAGCACTTGTCTTTAGTCCCAGTATAGAGAGGCAGAGGCAGGTGGATCTCTCTGAGTTCAAGACCAGCCTGGTCTACATAGTGAGTTCTAGGTCAGCCGAGGATACATAGTGAGATCCTGTCTCAAAAAACAAAACAAAACAAAAAACAAAAAGAAACAACAAAGAAAGTATATCAGAGGATGTGCATAGGTTATATGCAAATACTGTATCATTTTATATAAGAGATCTGAGTATCTGTGGATTTTGGCTTGAGAATGGGGGGTGGGGCAGTGATCCTGGAACCAATCTCCTGTATATAGTAAGGCACAAATTGTATATGCAAACATGCTACCAAAGTATATTACTAGCTGGACATGATGGTGCAAGCCTGTAATCCCAGCATTTGGGAGGCTGAGGCCAGAGAACTGCTGTGAGTTTGAGGCCAGCCTGGTGCAACACAGTTAATTCAAGCCAGTGTGGGCTACAGATAACCCTGTCTCAAAAATAAATAAGCTTCTTAAAATAAAAATGCAATTCAACCTAGCAGCCAGTATCTGTAACAAGAGTAATTAATTCAGGTCATTGGTGTAAATTAGTGGCCAGGCCAAGGTTAGAAGACAAAGGTATTTGTACAGGGCAGTTCCATTCAGCTCTAACCCCTAGCCCTCTTGTGAGAATATGGGTCTAGATTTCTAATTGTTCAGGAAATTTCTTTTTCTAAAAAAAGATTTGTCTTCTCTAAATAAACTACTACCCTATGCTCTGTTAAAAATGTTAGATAAAAAGGTGGCAGGGGTCAGGATTGCCGCAAAACAGAAACAAAGAGGACTCTGGCAAAACGAGAGTTTAATTGGGTTTGG